CTGCATCAAAAAATAAAAATAAACATAAAGTAAAATAAAATAAAGTGCAAGTAAGAGTTCAGAATAAGAACAGCATTTGGGGCAGCTTTTAGGTGGGTTGGTGGGGGTGAGAAGGACCACCAGATTTCATAGTCCACCAGATTTCAGATTTCATAGCTGGCCACCAGATTTCATAGTTAAAAACATCAGGAATTGTGGATGCAGCCCAGGACCCTCATATCTGAGAAATCCTCACCTTCCACGTAAGCACTGCCCACTTCCATTTGCTCGACTGCTAATAAATCATGACTTCTTCCTTGCACATAGACACTCTCTGCATTTTTATTCCAAACATTTAACTTGCAGAGTTGACAGAAAGGCTATAGATTTCCCCCCAAATATCCATTTGCCTTGCCATTTATCTACTTCGATCTGAAATACAGAACATGATGGGTGCCCTAGGTAAATCAAGCATTTCCTGTCTTCCGAAATGGGTTTGCAAACGCTTATTTCATGCCATTACCATTTTTCTGTTTCTAGCAGTAAATCAAAAAAGTATCGCCCATTCATCCACTTTAAAAGTAATGTCTTTCTTATGCATAATTACACATACCCAGTGGAGATCTGTGTGTGCACTGTAAATCTACTCTTTTAAAAGGTTTCCCCTTAAGTACATTGGTGACATAAATTGGCATAGAGCAAATTTATTTATTTAATAGGTTTATTCTTTTAACTGGTCTGATAACCATTACTGTTCACTGTTTGGTTTAGGGGGAGGAGGCAGTTCTTATTAATTTATCTGATTTATTTCTATGGCAGATATTTATGTAAAAGGGTTCCTCTGGAAATGAGGGTGAATGTAATTTATTGGTTTAGCAGGTTTATTCTTAACTGGCCTTCAGGCGATCCACATGGTACTCATAGAAATTGGGAGAGTGTCTTAAAATAATTGAAGTAAGAAAAGGAGGTGCGGCAGACCAGAGGGAGAACGTTTTGGAAACTTGCATTTGGATGAAAGTTTTCCTAAATACTGGACTAAAGGAGCAAGAGATGTGATTGAAAAAAAAGAAGAAAGGGAAGAAGAAAGGAAAGAAAGAAAAGAAAGAGAAAGAAAAAGAAAGGAAGAAAAAGAGAAAGAGGAAGAAGAAAGAGAGGAAGAAGGAAGGAAGGGAAAGAAAGAGAGAAAGAGAAAGAAAGAGAGAGAAAGAGAGAAAGAGAAAGAGAAAGAAAGAGAAAGAAAGAGAAAGAGAAAGAAAAGAAAGAAAGAGAAAGGAAAGAAAGAAAGAGAAAGAAAGAAGGAAAGAAAGGAAGGAAGGAAGGAAGGAAAGAAGGAAGGAGGGAAGGAAGGAAGGAAGGAAGGAGGGAAGGAAGGAAAGAAGGAAGGAAACAAAGGACAGAAAGAAAGAAAAGAAAAGAAAAGAAAGCCTCAATAATAACAACCCCAAAATGTTTTGGCAAATTGAAGATAAAAGAGAATCTGCTATTCAGGCCCGTGTAAACTTGCTGGCTTTTGTAAATCTTGTTTGTAGCTCCTGATGGTGTTGGAGTGAAAGCAGACAGGCCCAGCTGGTGGAGGCGAGGGAGAGAAATGCTGAATTTTTAGCAGTTCAGGTTTATTTTTAGGCATCGAAGGGTATCTTTAGCTTCCCAGTAAATGAGTCCATCAGAAGGCCATATATGAAATAATTAGAATGTAAAAATACAGACCAGAAACTGAGGGCCCCCACGACCAGACTGTGCAACGCAGGCCCCCTCCCTCCCGGCACAGATGGGGTCAGACAAGCTCACGGCACCCTCTGGTCCAGGCTGCCCAAATCCACCTGGAGAAGGGCACAGGGCAGACTGGGCCCTGGGCTTGTCACTGACATCACCAGCAGGCATAACAGCCCATCCTGGAACATTGTCCCTTTGCCTCCCTGGCATGAGGATCTGGTCAGGCTGGGCACGCCCTTAGGAACAGTGACTCTGGACTGGAAACTGGAGAGTGGTGCCCTTCAAGGAATCCGGAGCTTGGTCCAAGGGGGCAGGCCAAGAGCCGGCGTGAACAGGCAAGGTTGGGCCATCGGGAACCTGCATTTTTAGTTTTATCTTTTAAATCATAGAGATGCAGTCTCCCTATGTTGCCCAGGTTGGTCTTCAACTCCTGGGTTCAAGCAGTCCTCCCCCCTTAGCCTCCCAAAGTGCTGGGATTACAGGCATGAGCCACCATACCTGGCTAGAATCAGCCTTTCTAGACCGGGAAAGAGGAGTGAGTCTTGGAGAATCTTTGGACTCCAAAAAGACCTTGAAGTTGGTATAGTCCTGTCCATTGTTCCTTCCTTCCTTCCTTCCTTTCTTTTTCTTTTTTTTCTTTCTTTTTATTTTTTTGATAGAGTTTTGCTCTTGTAGCCCAGGCTGGAGTGCAATGTCACGATCTCGACTCACTGCAACCTCCACCTCCCAGGTTCAAGTGATTCTCCTGCCTCCTGAGTAGCTGGGATTACAGGCGCCTGTCACCATGCCCAGCTAATTTTCTATTCTTAGTAGAGATGGGGTTTCACCATGTTGGCTAGGCTGGTCTTGAACTCCTGACCTCAGGTGATCCACCTGCCTCAGCCTCCCAAAATAATGGGATTACAGCTGTGAGCCACCGCACCTGGCCAGTCCCATCCATTTTCTATTCCTAAACCTCCCGGGTCTCCCCCAAGAACACTGAATTGTACCAGAAGCTGGATGAAACGATCTGATCCCACAGCTTCACATTCCTGTGACACTGAACATTCCTTATGAAATACAGAAATATTTCAGCATGAGATTTTCATTAGGCCCTACGCTGGCTTGGAGGGTGGCACACCTGCTGTAAACCATGCTCGGTCTCTGCCCTCAGAGTAGGTTCCATGTCCCAGAGGAGGTCCCGTGTCCCACGTGCAGGCCAGTGGTGAGCAGGCTGGAAGGCCTGTCATAAGCCCATCCTGTCAGTGCTGGGAGGCCAGAGGCAGGTCTTCGAATCATTCATCTACCTTTGTTTCTCATGACCTTGAGGTCTGGCACATAGTAGATGCTCCAAACATATATGTTGAATGTTTTTTATTTATTTTTGTTTTTACTTTTAAATTTGAGACAGGGTCTTACCATGTTGCCCAGGCTCTCTCAAACTCAAGCAATCTGACCCCAGGCTAGGCTGGTCTCGAACTCCTGACCTCAGATGAGAAGTTCTGGCCCTGGGAACATAGCCCACCACCACCATGGTGAAACCCCATCTCTACTAAAAATAGAAAATTAGCTGGTCGTGGTGACAGGTGCCTCATGCCTGGGCCTCAGATGACGAGTACCTGATCCACTCACCTCAGCTTCCCAAAGTGCTGGGATTACAAGCATGAGCCCCATGCCTGGCCTAGTTTTTATTTTATTTATTTATTTGAGACAGAATCTGACTGTGTTCCCAGGCTGGAGTGCAGTAGCATTATAGTACCTTAACCTTCTGGGCTCAAGTGATCCTCCCACTTCAGCCTCCCAACCAGCTGGGACTACAGGTGTGCACCACCACTCCAGGCTAATTTTATTTTTATTTTTTGGTAGAGATCGCATCTCACTGTGTTGCCCAGGCTGGTCTTGAACTGCTGACCTCAAGAAATCCTCCTGCCTTGGCCTCCCAAAGCACCAGGATTACAGGCGTGAGCCACCGTGCCTGTTACCTGTTGAGTGTTGAGTGACAGCAAGACAGGCAGAGTGAGTGGCGTCCTTGCTTCACAGATGAGTGAGCAGGGGGATTCTAGGCGCTGTGAAAGACCGCCTACAAAGCAGCCACATCCAGCTGCCTGCCGAAGGACCACAGACGCCACCGGCCAGGACCAGGCTCCTGGATATGAGGCTGTTATATCTCCTCCAGGTAGTGTAGGAGCCCGGCCCGGTGGCCTGCTGCCGTGTGTCTCCTACCTTCCCTGCAGCCATTGCTGGCGAGTGCCCCTGAGTCTTGGGGTCCTGTGCCTGGTGACTTCTTAGCTAATGGAAGTGCTGGCTTCCTGGCCTCGCTGGCCCTGGGAACATGGCCCAAGCCCCTCCAGCAGTAGGAGTCTGGGGCATAAGTGGGCGTGACCTTCAGTGTTGAGAGTGCAGTGGAAAAGCCTGGGGAGTGGATGCTAGAGGTCTGGGGAAGGCTCCCTGCCTCCCAGACTCTTCCTGACCTGCCTGCTAATGTCTCCAAACCCACCCCCAGGGCTGCATCACCATGGACCACAGTGGTGGATGCCACTCTATTTTCAGAAGATAGCTTCCAGTTTCGGTATCTATGCCTCCATCTATCTACAATCACTCTCTCGATGATAGATTATAGATAGATAGATAGATAGATACATAGATAGATAGATAGATAGATAGATAGATAGATAGATAGATAGATGATAGACAAACGGATAGATAGAGATCTATACCTATATCTATCTCAGGGATCATTAGTGTGCTGTACTTTAAAGCTTTTCAGCAGGCTTTGTTCTGTAAGTGTGCGCACCAAAACAGCAGACAAGTGACAATTACAAATAACGAAAAAGATACATGGCCAGGCGCAGTGGCTCATGCCTGGAATCCCAGCACCTTGGGAGGCTGAGGCAGGCGGATCACTTGAGGTCAGGAAATTGAGATCAGCCTGGCCAACATGGTGAAACCCCGTCTCTACTAAAAATACAAAAATTAGCTGGGTGTGGTGGCATGGGCCTGTAGTCCCACCTACTCGGGAGGCTGAGGCAGGAGAATCTCTTGAACCTGGGAGTCAGAGGCTGCAGTGAGCCGAGGCTGTGCCACTGCACTTGAGCCTGGGTGATGGAGTGAGATGCTGCCTCAAAATAAAAGAAAAAAGAAAAAAGAAAAGGCCCTGTTATGGTCTCTGCTGCCACCCTGGCCTGGCCAGAGGCCCCTTTCAAGCCAGTGGGTGAGCCTGGGTTGATCACACTCTTCCTTAAAGTCAGAGAATTGACAAGAGGCCTGGGATCCTTCTCTGTCCTGCCGAAGATTTAAAGGGGAAGTGTGGGTAAGAAGCAACAAACTTGACCAACTTGACAACTCTGTTTATTTGTTTGCTTTAAAACAAAATCTACTTGTTTGAGGAACAGTGATGAAAATGAGCCACTGTCTGTTCTCAGGACAGTCTGTCTTTCCTGTGGAACTCAGGCGAGCCAGCCCCTCTGCCTCTGGTTCTCTGGGGGCAGTGTGTTCAGGGAGTCCCAGGCAGGGGCTGGCTTGCTCTGGGGTGTCCAGCAAAGGGCCAGAGAGCTTGCAAGCCAGACCCAGCGGGCTCCTGCGGAGCTCCCCGCTGCCCATGAAGCCCCTCCGTCCCCAGTGCCTTTGCTCTTGCTGTCCCTCCTGTCCCACCCTCTAGCCCCCAGATCCGTGCATGGCAGTTTCTTCTTGTCACTTGGCTTTCAGTGCAAATGCGCCCTCTTCAGGGAGGCATTTCCTGACAACCTGCTCCAAAGTGCCCTGCCCTGCGGGCCTCCCACTCTCAGCCCACCTTGCTTTATTTTCTCCAGTGCACAAATCTCAATCTCCATCATCGACAACCATGCACTGTATAATGTTTCGGTCCAAGGCAGTGTGCAGTGGTGACAGTGGTCCCATCAATGATAATACTATATTTTTACTGTACCTTTTCTAAGTTGAGATGTGTTTAGGTACACGGATACTTAACCACTGGGTTCCAGCTGCCTGCGGCATTCGGGGCAGTAACATGCTGTCTGGGTCTGCAGTCTAGGAGCCACGGGCTACATGCAGCCTAGATGTGCAGTAGGCGACCCCATCCAGGTTTGTGTAGTGCACTCTGGGACGTCCACACAATGACAACATCACCTCACCATGCATTTCACAGGACATGTCCCTGTCACTCAGTGATGCGTGACTGTGCTTTAGATCTTGCTGGTTGCCTTCCCCAAGCGGAACATGGGCTCCCTTAGAGCAGGGACCATTCTCTGTGGCGACCATTCAGAGCAGTGGTGAGAACAGGGCCCGGCCCTCCTGGCAGGCACCCGGTAGGCATCTGTAGAGTGAATGAGAGTAAAGGAAAGATCAGCTCTTCTTGTGCACGTAGCTGAGACAGGAACTCTGGATGTTGACACAGGTGACTGCCCTTTGTTTTGTTTGTTTGTTTGTTTGTTTGTTTGTTTGAGACAGAGCTTGCTCTGTCACCCAGGCTGGAGTGCAATGGCGCCATCTAGGCTGCTGGATTCAAGTGATTCTCCTGCCTCGGGCTCCCCAGTAGCTGGGACTACAGGGATACGCCACCATGCCTGGAGAGTTGTTTGTGTTTTTAGTAGAGACAATGTCTCACCCTATTGCCCAGGCTGGTCTCAAACTCCTGATCTCAAGTGATCCACCCACCTTGGCCTCCCAAAGCGCTGGGATTACAGGTGTGAGCTGCCACGCCCGGCCACAATTGTCCTCTTGTCCTTACTCCCAAAAGAAGCTTTTCCTAAGTTATTCTGATAATTCCGGTCCGAGCAAATCTAGATAATTGAGGTATAAGCACTGGGTGGGGCATGAGTTTTTTTTCTTTTTTCTTTTTTAATTGTTGTTTTCATTGTAATTGCCTTAATTCTCCCATTTCCTCTGCCACTATGGACAGGACTAAGCTATTTGGGCCTCCTCTCTCTCTGCTCTGAGTTGCTATCTATCATGGTCGCCAGCACCTCTCTTTTTAAAAAAAAAATTTTTTTTTAAGAGTCAGGGTCTTGCTGTATTGCCCAGGCTGGAGTGCAGTGGTGCAGTCATAGCTCACTGCAGCCTCAAGTTCTGGGCTCAAGTGATCTTCCTACCCCAGTCTTTTGAGTAGCTGGGACTACAGGTGTGCACCATCACACCCAGCTAATTTTTGTTATTTTTTGTAGAGACAAGAGTCTTGTTATGTTGCCCAGGCTTGTCTCAAACTCCTGGGCTTAAGCAATCTGCCTGCCTCAATCTCCCAAAGTGCAGAGATTATGGGCATGAGCTACCGTGCACAGCCAGCACCTTTTCTTGGACAATGACATTTCAGCCAGCCCCTGGTTTCATGGCCAGATCACTGAATGGGCCAAGGCAGCTGGTCCTTTCCTTCCCTTTTCCCTCAAGGGAACCTTTTCTCCTGCCCAGCATCTCTTTTCTCTTTTTTTTCTTTTCTTTGTTTGACGGAGTCTTACTCTGTTGCCCCAGTGGGAGTACAGTGGCACTATCTCAGCTCACTGCAAACTCCACTTCCCGGGTTCAAGTGATTCTCGTGCCTCAGCCTCTTAAGTAGCTGTGATTACAGGCGCCCACCATCAGAACCGACTAATTTTTGTATTTTTAGTAGAGATGGGGTTTCACCATGTTGACCAGGCTGGCCTCGAACTCCTGACCTCAGGTGATCCGCCCATCTTTGGCTCCCAAAATGCTGGGATTACAGGTGTGAGCCACTGCATCCAGCCCCAGCATCTCTTTTCTGTCTTTCTTGTAAGAGCATCCCAGCTTGTCTTGGGGAAGCCGTCTTTCTCCGTTTTCAGACCTTGCATCTTGGGTGGGGCCAGCAATGCCCCCTCTAAACCCTGGTCACAGCGAAGGTTTAGAGGAGGCATGAAATGGGCCAGGGAGAGAAAGGAGAGGCCCCTGGATTTCAGCTGGAGCCACAGGAAGGTGCTCTTGCTTCGGCCATCCTGGGTGTCGGGGCTGGAGGCTGTGCAGCTGCAATGGCACCAACACAGGAGACGCGAGGCTCTGAAGCAAGACGTGGTCTCTGCAGTTATGCCAACAAGTTTCCTTCCTGCCGACACTGGTTTGAGTTGCACATTCTGGCACAAGCTCCCGGGAGGCCCTTGATAGATCTTTGTCTTCTCTGGGCTCCACATTCCGTGCCAGCATCTTTATCTGTGGACACAAGCTCAAGCTGGCCATTGATCCTTCCTCAGGAAAGACAGACCCCCATCCACAGATGTGTGGAGCCTCTCAGTGTCTGGGAACTGGAATGGCCTTGGTCATCCATGTTAGCCAATGACCTTAACCACATACCCACAGGGCCTGGCCACACCCCATAGCTGACTGTGAAGATGACCCTAAGAACCATATGGGCAGCCAAGAAAAAAAGTCCAGAGACACCATGATGAGATGGGGTGAGGGGAGTACTTTAGTCTGTTCAGACTGCTTTGACAAAGCACCATAGACTGAGTGGCTTATCAGAAATAGAAATTTAGTGGTGGCTCAGGCCTGTAATCCCAGCACTTTGTGAGGACAAGGCGGGTGGATCACCTGAGGTCAGGAGTTTGAGACCAGCCTGGCCAACATGGTGAAACCCCATCTCTACTAAAAATACAAAAATTAGCCTGGCATGGAGGTGCACACCATAATCCCAGCTACTCGGGAGGCTGAGGCAGGAGAATCACTTGAACCGGGGAGGTGGAGGCTGCAGTGAGCCGAGATCACGCCACTGCACTCCAGCCTGGGTGACAGAGCCAGATTCTGCCTCAAAAAACAAAACAAAAAAATCAGATTCCCACTGATCTGGAGGCTGGCAGCCAGGTTCTGTGAGGATTCTCCTTCAGGTTACAGATTGCAGACTTCATATGCATCTTCACTTGGCAGAAAAGGGGCAAAGAGCTCTGTGGGATCCCTTTTACTTACTTATTTATATTTATTTTTTTTTGTAAAGATGGGATCTTGCTATGTTGCTCAGGCTGGTCTTGAACTCCTGGCCTCAAGTGATCCTCCCGCCTCAGCCTCCCAAAGTGCTGGGATTACAGGCATGAACCACCACACCCAGCCTGGGGTCCTTTTTCTAAGAGCACTCACCCCATTTCTGCGGGCTCTGCTCTCATGAACTAATCACCTTCAAAGGCCCCACCTCCTAATACTCTCACGTAGGGAATTAGGATTTCAACATATGAATGTTGGGAGGACACAGACATTCAGAGCATAGCAGGAGTTCTGGTGAGGGGCCTGAAAAACTTCCCCGTCATCCGTTTTCCGGCTCCACGGAGCCCTGTGGCCCTGTGAGCCTGTCCCTACAGCACCTCCTGTATTTGTTTAGCCAAGTTATCAGAGTGGCCCCGGGGGATGCAAATCAGCCTGAGATGCCAACAATTAGGCTCATAAGCTCCCTGTGTCAATTTGCTTGGTGGTAGTGAGTACATCTTTGTCTGGGTGGGAGCACATCTTCACACTCTGGAGCTATGGAGGGTAAGCATTTTAAGCTGCAAATATTGTTATTCATAATAGGTTAGCAAATATTTTCAGATTAACTAAGTGTCACACTCTGGAATTATGACTGTGAATCTGACAGCTTCCGATGATGGTGGCTCCTGCCTCGTTCTCAGGCTGGGAGGCCCCAGAGTGGGGGCTGTCCTTAGGGGATGGATAGTCAGACCCTCTCCCCCATTGCAGGAGTCCTCTCATCCATTTCCCACCCTGAATAGTGTCCAATCCTTCTTGTCTTGGGTACTTCTAAGGATGTGCTACTCACTACCTTCAAAGGCAGAATGCATCCCGCAGCTGGGCAGCTCTGGTCTCCAGAGGATGTTTTGGGCCAGCGTTGGGTGCACTGGCCTTTATGCTGACACCACTCGCTCCTAGGGTCACTCGGCAAATATTCCTCTCATGGCTAGCGACGCCAGAGCCTTCGCTCAGAGCCAGGGAGTCAGAGGAGGAGGCAGCGGGACCCCTGTACGCGAGGAGCTCACCTCCTGGGAAACAGACAAGAGCACGCTCAGCTCTTACACGAGACACAGAGGGGGACCCAAGAGGCTGGGGGACTCTGAGACAGGAGCTGGGGGAGTGGAGGAGAGCCTCAAAGGGTGGACACAATATGAATCTGCTGAGTCGGGGACTGGGTGGATGGAGCGATGGCGGGCAAGGGAGGGACCCTCACCATGAATATGGATGGTCAGAGCGGCCATGCAGGTGCGGGAAAAGCCGGTGGGGTTAAGTGCGTCAAAAGTCCTGCAAAGCCAGGTTGCCATCGAAAGGGGCTGCTCCCTGCTTCTGGAGACACTCTGTACCAGTCTCAGTGACTCTCCACCCTCCTGTCTTCCTCCCACCTCTTGGGCCCCTTCTTAACCAGATCTCTAAAGGCTGGAGTGCTCCAGAGCTGGAACTTTCACAACAAAACTCCTTGCCCAGGACACAGTGTCTCCACGTCCCCTGCAGCTCAAGCACAGAGACCTAACAGTCATTCCTGAGGTCCTTTTGCTTCCATCTCAGTCTCCAGACCACGACCAGTGAGTGGGTCTGTCACTACAGAATGTATCTTCTAGCCTATCTGCTTCTTCCCCACTCCCCTGCACCTGTGCTCCAAGCCGCCCCCATCTCTCATAGGGCCAGGCGCCCAGCCAGCCTCTTGTGTTAGTTCAGGCCACCATAACAAAATACCGTGAGCCAGGGCTTCAACAATGAACAATTATGCTTCATCGTTCTGAAAACTGGGATGTTTGAGATCAAGGAGGGTCTGAGTCCATTTTGTATTGCCATAAAGAAATACGAGAGGCTGAGTGATTTAAAAAGAAAAGAGGTAGGTTTAGTTCACGGTTCTGCAGGCTGTACAAGAAGCGTGATGCTAGCACCTGCTCCTGGTGAGGCCTCAGGAAGCTTCCAGTCGTGGCAGAGGTGAAGGAGGAGCAGGCATGTCATGTGGCAAGAGAGGGAGCAAGAGGGAGAAAGAAGGGTTCCAGGATCTTTTTTGTTGTTGTTTTGTTGGCCAGGATTTTTTGTACTATTTTATTTTTTATTTTTATATTTATTTTTATTTTTTGAGATGAAGCCTCACTCTCGCCCAGGCTGGAGTGCAGTGGTATGATTTTGGCTCACTGCAGTCTCCACCTCCCAGGCTCAAACGATTCTCCTGCCTCAGCCTCCTGAGTAGCTGAGACTATAGGCACACACCACCAAACCCAGCTAAGTTTTGTATTTTTTTTTCTTTTGAGACGGAGTCTCACTCTGTCGCCCAGGCTGGAGTGCAGTGACCGGATCTCAGCTCACTGCAAGCTCCAACTCCCGGGTTCACGCCATTCTCCTCCCTCAGCCTCCCGAGTAGCTGGGACT